GTGTGTATGTACCATAGTTTGTTTATCCATTCATCTGTTGATGGGCATCTAGGTTGTTTCCATCCTTCTGCTATTGTGAACAATGCTGCCATGAACATACGTGTGCATATCTCTATTCGAGTGACGACTCTTCCTTTTCTAGGATATATTCCTAGGAGTGGAATTGCTGGATCGAATGGTATGTCTAGAAAATAAGCTACTTTTAATTGCTAAAGGTCAGTCATCCTAATAAGTATTGAAAAACTTGTTTAAAAATGATATCGTTATGAATCTATGTGTAGACTTACAAGGAAAACTTTAAAAAATATTCTTAAAATCAGTCACACCTTAATTAAATAATTTGGGTGTGCTGAAAAGCCCTGGTGCCACAGTGGTTAAGAGCTACAGCTGCTAACCAAAAGATCGACAGTTCGAATCCACCAGCCTCTCCTTGGAAACCCTTTGGGGCAATTCTGCTCTGTCCTATAGGGTAGCTAGGAGTTGGAATTGACTTCACGACAGTGGGTTTGGATTTTTTTTTAATATTGAAAAGCTAGTTCTGTGGATCCGTTTCCCAATGCATAATAATATTTTGTTTGTAAATGTTAATATATTCTGGCCCAGACTTTGTGCATCTGACTTCTATAATGACAAAGAAACTGAAAGCTAAAAGCTTCCAAGGATGATCTCGTGTATTGATAGTTGTTCATTCCAAGAGTGGTAATAGAAAGAAGATGATGTGTGCTTAGTATTTAAATGTTCGAAGACTGCTTAAATGTTTGACTAAGTAGAAACTTAATAATTTTAAGCCGAGAAGCAGAAGATTCTCCCAGTGAAACCAGAACTCATAGAAGTTTCAGAGAAGGATTTTCTTGTTAAGCATTTAATTTTCTGTACTGAATTTCATTTCTAAAAGGCGATTATTAACTTGATAGGTTAAATTTTCATTCATTCAACAAATATCTGGGAGCCTAATTTGTGTGACTCTTACGGGAAATGGAATTGATCCTCAAAAACTTATACAAGGGCAGTTTTCTTCTAATAAGGGACTTCGAACAGTTTCTAATGTCAAACTGGCAGGATTAAGGATATAGGAAATGGTGGTTATACAGTTAGTCTTTCGATTATTTTTCACCTGTTCTCCAGCTTATTCATCGTCATCAAGCAGGGTTTTTAGCACCTACAACATCATAGCTGCTTAAATGTTTATTGAATGGGTGAGTTTAGGCCAGTTTTAGAGAGGACTTTGAAATTTAATGGGATGGGAAATAACATTGACCACTTTGCTATGCTAGAATGTCCGCTGTTCTCAGATCCTGGAAAATATATTCGTGGAATCCTTGGACTGCTTGCTGAAGTTGTATGGTAGTATTCAGTTATAATCATATGATGTAGAGTATGTTTTATGTTAATTTAAAAAGAATTATTATTGATACAAAGACAGACTTAAAAAAGTAATTGTAGAGAAGTTATGAATCTTGAGGCTGTGGACACACCCATAGGCATCCTTGGACCGCAGTTTGAAAACTACTGAGTCAAAAGGTATTTTGGTTTAGGAGTCTAAAGAACCATTCCTTGCTTTTTGCACTTCTCTGGCCTGCTTTGTAGCATTAGCTGAGTTCTTAGCCTCTTCCTTTTTCTTGTATTCAGAGAATACATAAAACTAGATTATCTCTAAGAATTCTTCCTGCTTTGAAATTTTCCAACTCAGTGAATCTTGTAACTATTTAGCACTTATTTTATCCCTGTGTTGTCTTAGGGGCTCTAACTGTCATTTGGTACTTATGTATCTGTTGTTGAATAGGAAAATTAATAACAGGCATCTTACTTTGATTGTAAGGTTTTTCTTATTTATGAAACCAAATGTTAACCGTGAAAAGCCTGATCCAAACTGCAAAAGCCTGCCAGAAACTGCTCTACAGCAATGTAAATTTATCTTATCCTGCTAGAAAGGATAGTTGTCAAACCATTACCTCCTAATTTAAGTCGCAAAAAGTCTCATGGCTGCAAGTGTGTGGAGGGCCAAATTATTAGCAACTATGCCAAAAGTCACCCAGTATCAGTTGATCTCAGTAAGGGGGTGGAGGGGCAGGCAGGGTTCAAACAATCACATAAAGATCAGCCAATGGTAGATGATTTATATTTTTCCCTGCTCTTGTGTTTATAAGCCTCATTGTGCCTAGTTTCTTCCAGCCATTTTCCGTTTCTGGTCTCCCTATATGCATATATAGAATAATAGCTCAGAATAAACCGTATGTTCAGATTTCAGTGAGTGTTGATTATTTTTAACACTGCCAAAAGGCTGAGCTTGTCTGAAACAGGGATTAGTGTCAGTCATTTTTGTATCTCTCGAGCTTAGTGTATGTTTGACACACACATTAGAAATAAGATAATACTAGCATGAATTCAGAAGGGGCATTTTTGCCCTCTCAAAGAATAGCTAAGAACTAAACTCTAGTATTGTGTATAAATACAGCAGGAATTTAGAGAAGGGAAGGCTCTGTTTGGGTTAGAGCAATTGGGAAGGCTTCAGTGGACAGGTAAGACTTTGATGGAAATGGCTCTGCAGAGAGCAGGCCTGTGAGCATTGCTTGGGTGACACAGCAGGAGCCAAGGCCCAGAGGCTGGTATGTTAGTGCATTGTGGGCAGAGGAGCTTGGAAATGATTTATTAAACAATAAGGGGCTATTGTAAATGACAGTTTTCTCCGGAAAATTGTATTAGGCTTCCTCAAAAGCTTCATGAACATTCTTTAACTTAATCCTGTTGGTAGCATTTAAGACTGGTGATGGACCATACAGTTT